CTGACGGTGCTCCCCGGGCTGTGAGCAGCAGCTCCTCGGGTGGCAGAACCGCGGCTCGCCCTGACACCCACGGGGAGCTGGCCTCGCGGCGTGGGCACCTCCGTGGAGCCAGCGTTGGCTGAAGAGACGCTGGACCAATACACGGAAAGTGGAAAGATCCAGGGTGAATAAACCCAGAACCTGCTGCTCCTCGGTTCGTACTGAGCGCAGCCAGAGGGAGGGTGGGTTTGTGAACTAAAAGCCGTGATGAGAAGTCTCTAAACCCAGACGTTTATCCTTCCTGTATTCCTGTGCAAAAATTCAGCAGAACTTCTTCCATAATTACAGACATCTTACACAGGCAAAAGTCTGACGATTCAGGTCCTTCATACTGACTCATTAACTGTGCGGAGTTCTAGAAAAATATGAAGTCTCATTGCCTCCCAGGCAGCGTTAGGGATGTTTAAAGAAATTGTCAGTTTCCCAAAGCCAAGCTGTTTGTGTGCAGTCCTGTATATTGACTGCACCAGACACCCTTTACTGCGGACCTGCATCAAGTGCTGCCTTCAGAAAATTGCTGTTATTGTTTATAAAGCTTCCTCCTTCCTCAAATTTGTTTTCACTTTTAGTATGATGTTGGTGTTTAAAATTCAGTGAAGGGCTGTTGTTAATTTCCCTGTGCTACAAATACACTGTCTCTTACTCTGTAAACCAAACCTGCCTAGAAGGGGAAACTTCCCTTTGAAAGCTAGATTAAACGGCGCCCAGAGCCCTGAAGATGCCCTCTTCGTGAAGATGGGTTTCAGCAGCAGGCGATGGACCATCACTGTTCGTAGGTTCAGCACAGGGCCTCCCTTCCTGGCCTCTTTATCTGCCCAAATTCTGACATTCTTCATGGAAAACTCTCAGGCGTGGTGTGAAATTTGCACGTGATTGTGCTTAGAGCTGCGTCAGTGACTTTGAGATAAAAATCAAGTCTGGCTTTGATACCAGCTGTGAGGTATTAGATCCTCTTAATGCCCAGCTGTGCTCTCAATTCCTTGGGATTGTCATGCCCAGTCAATGAATGTTGGAAATATTAACCAGATGGTGATTTTATTTATTTTTCTCTTCTGTCCTTTAAGGCTGATACCGTCTAAAAATGAGTCAGGTAAACGACAGCGTTAAGCCAAATGTTATTGATGATGAAATGGTTCAGAAAGCCATGGAAGAGCAGTGTCCAGAGGTCATAAGGAACCTTGGCAAACGGGAAGGTGTTAAGGATGTGACGGAGCTACAGCTTAGTTTTAGAAGTGAGTATCCGAATATATAATTTTTTTTTTCCCCCTTCTTCTTCTTTCGTTAGAGTGTAATAGAATTAAGTACGAAGTGGCTAACTGTCAATTAAACAATCGTGATTAGGTTGGGTTTGCAATGTGAAAAGTCACCTCTCACGTACATTTTTAGTCCTCCTTGTATGAAGTAGTTTCCTTGGAGAGAGCTGGGAGCTTTTGCTGATGGTAACTTTAGAGCGGCTTAACTTCACGCTATTTCATTTAACATTTATATTCTGGTGACACCTACAGGCCACAGGGCTCTGGGGCCCTTCTGTAGGTGGACAGACAGAACCCTGGGCAGGATCCGCTGGCGATTCCGTGGGAGCTGTTTGGCAGATGATGGTGGTTACAGCCCAATTCGCTGGCTTCCCCCGGTCATCCATCGCATTATCGCAGCTTGCCTCTTCCTGTCAAACCAGTCATAAACTCGGATTTGAAAAAAATGAAAAGGAAAACCACTTGGCTCAGTATTGGAGTATTTTGGGGGTATATCATTTCATGGGCAAAAGGCTGCTCCTGATTATTCGTGGCATGCTGCAGTGAAATAATGCGTGTGGCAGTTGAGTTCCTTCCAACAGACTCCTCGCTATCTGATCCTGTGTGGATTTGTTTGCAAATACAAGATACAGAACGGGGTGAATATTTTGTGCATGCAATTCCTTTCTTTGCTCTGCACTCGCTGAACAACCATAGCAGCAGAACAGCTAATGAAATCTCCTGGGAAGCCACTGCGGGGGGACAGAAGAATTGGGAGTGAGGACATTCTGTATTATCTGTCACCTTGGTCCTGACATTTTGCTGTAGCGCCTAACGACTTGCCCTTGTGATTCTGTTTTTGGAGAAAGCCAAAGGCAGGGATATTGATTAGTTCTGAACCGCAGCCTGCACAGAAAGAGCAGACCCCAGCTTGCTCCGCTGTGCTGAGAATCCCGGGAGCAGGAGAGTCATTTCCCACAGCAGTAGCTGGCCACCGCCAGCCTGCAAACGTGGAGAAAAGCTGAGTCTCACCCCAAACCTCCCTCTTAGAGCTGGAAAGTGAAGGTCAAGGCCTCCTAGGAGGGGATTCATAAAGCCACTCTCGGCTGCAGGGCTGTAGTCAGCATGCCCTCAGCGCCTCGTCCGCATCGCTGATGAGCTGTGTGCGCTTGTGCGGGACGCTGGGGTTAACTGGGCTGCTGCACTGAAATCTCCTCCAGCCACTGGACCTCTCAGCTCTCTAGGGCAGTCATCACACGCTACCGTAATCTGCTGAAAGTCATTTTGGAGGTAAGACTGGACATGTTTTCCTTGTGCGAGATAGCGTGTCTGCTAAACTGAATGCTGTCTCACATGAAAAGCAATTTTGGTTTGGGTTTTTTTTTTTTCCCCCGTGGCTTTAGATATCCTGCAGATTGCTAATCTGTGGCAGTTTGAGAACCTGACGAAACTGCAGCTGGACAACAACATCATTGAGAAGATCGAAGCTCTGGAGAGTCTGGTTCACCTTGTGTGGCTCGGTAAGACACAGGCGTGTGGAGCTGGATGCCTTCACAGGTGCCAAGCAATCTGTGATAAAGCCAGGATGTTGCCTTCCTGCTCAAACACGACTGATAGGAGCCTTCCTAGGGAAGGCTGACAGCTGCCTGTGTGTTTCCTCATTTGACTGTCAAATGTCAAAATGTCTGAATAGCAGAGCTGCAAAACAATCCTTCAAATGTTTAAAAACTGGGTTTAATACATTTGGTGTGGCAGGAACGGGAAGCTGAGATTTCAAGGTTGTTTCCAGGGTTTGTACTTGTGCTTCAAGGCGACTTTCAGAAATATTGATGGAAACACCTCTGTGATTTCGAAGCCTGTATTCTGTTTTCAAACCTAATGCAGGCATTTCAGAGCCTACAACCCACGGTCTTTACCCCTCTACACTTAAGGGCTTGTCATCATTGCTGTCCCAAGAAGAGCCCATCCTTGTAGCCTTACATGACTATTTTCAACTGAAAATCCAGGATGCGGACAGCAGCATCATGCAGCGGTGCAGGTTTTGATGCTGGGCAGCTTGGTGAGCTTGCTGCTGCAGATTCACAGCTTAGGGAACTGCAGCCACGCTGCTGGCTGGCGGTGTAAATATATCCTCAGCCGCCATCGAAAATAGCACGCGGGGCTTCGCTTCGTAAGCACGTCTTGAAACATCTGATGGGTTCTTCTGCTCCGTTGTTCTGCTGCACAGATGACTAACGCGCTTGTGAATCAGCAGCTGATCGCCACTGTGCACGCAGAGCATCCTGAAGTGCACCCAGGGGTTTCGTTTGCCCAAAGGCTTCTGCTCGTGTGTCTCAGCCATCCGGGGGCTGGGGGGTGCAGGCAGCTGGTAACCTCATCAGCCATCCTTGGACTCCTGAATTCCTCAGCACTCAAACCCTGCCCTTAGTCATTATGAATGGAGATGTTGGGATCGATGTTCTGGCAGGATAAGAGGAAATATCAACAAGTGAGATAGAGCTGAAGGGAGTACATGCCTTTGCAGACCTCCATCGGCAACAGGGTGACTGTGAGCGCGGGACTGGGGTGTGCTGGTGTGTGTATGTGTGTACATCACCTCCTGACCAGAGAACGATGATTCAATGGTGAGCCCTTCCTCTGAGACACCGAGCAACCCTGCAGAAAATACTCTGTACAACCTCCTAAACCGGGCTACATGCAAGGTCTGTTCTGCTAGAGATAATTTAACTTTCGCTTGTAAAACTTTTTGATTTCTACACTCTTCCCCAGACTTATCCTTCAACAACATTGAAGTCATCGAGGGCCTGGATACCCTCGTCAACCTGCAGGACCTCAGCCTCTGCAGAAACAGAATATCCAAAATCGAGCACATGGACACATTGCAAAAACTGCAGATTTTCTCCATAGGAAAGAATAACCTGACTGCCCTGGAAGATGTGAGTGCTCCCTATCTTTGCAAATATTCCCTATCAAAGGATCGAATATTCTAAAACTGACATTGGCCACTGTGTCCGAGCCCCTCCTTACAGGAGAAAAATCTCCTTCGGATTTCACTTCCTCTGTAGGCTAAGGGATGGTTTTGGTAAACTCTCCTGATGTTAAGTGCTCACTCCAGCTATTTCTCTTTGAGACTATTGACTCACCAGGTCCATTACTGCTGTCAGCCATGGCAAAATTCCTGTTAGTTCCCATGAAAGCTGGAAAAAGATTAAGTAGCTACATATGAGAGAAGGAGGGAGCGGAGGCTAGGATTTATTTGGGGTTCTTTTGAGGGCAGTTTACCATTCGAAGAGCCGTGATTTGTCCACCCCATCCACCTTCTCTCTACATCCATCATTTATATATTCACAATGTGAATTTAAGTATTTCCTTTCCTGAAAGCATCAGACACTCATAATTTAATGTCACCAGTGTTTGGCAGCAGAGCAGGATACATATTCCAAGATAATTGTAATCAGAGCCACGATTTTCAGGGCTGTGTGCTTCCCCAGCGCTGGAAATGCAGCATCTCTTTCCCCTCGGCACAGGTGGTCTATCTCCGGAGGTTTAAAAACTTACGCACGCTGAATCTCACGGGGAACCCTCTCTGCGACGATGAACGGTACATGCTGTTTGTGGTTGCTCATCTTCCAGACCTTGTCTACTTGGACTTTAAGCTCGTGAGTGAGAACACGGTGAGCATCTCTGCATCCCCTGCTCGTGAGGTCAGGCACCGGCATCCCACGAGCGCTTGCTTTGTTGGTATGCCAGCAATTCTTCCAGCATTCGGGGCAGGTTCCCTGCAGAAATCAGGCTTCCAGAGACACGCCATGTTTATTCTGCCTCCACCGAACAGCTGTGAACCTGGAGGCCAAATTCTATCAAATGTGACAGAGAGGCAGAGGTGTTGGAGGCGTGATGTCTTCCCCAGATTTTGTGAAAATCAGCAGCTGTGTGTGGGAGAGGGGCCTGGTTAATGCTGGCAGAGAGGCTGCAGTGTGAGTGCAAGCCTTCCTAGAGACCAGAAAATCTCGGAGGAGATCAGTCGTGAGCCATGGATCCAGGGCTCAAAGGAACAAAGAAGGTTTTTTGTTTGTTTTGGGATTTTGAGGCGTTTTGGGTTTTTTGGAGGGTTTTTCATTTTTTTTTTTTAATTATTTTTAGTAACCAAAGAACATGATTACTTGTAAATTTGCTTGGCAAAGAGCAGGAGGAATATCCATTCCTCTTACCGCAGGACTGGGAGGGCACAAGGTCCAGTCCCTGCTCATACAGACAGTACGTCATAGAACCACATACCTACATTTGTCAAGCTTCAGCTTCAAATTAATGAGGTTCTTGCCCCTGCTACTACCTTGCCATCCACGCCTCCTCCTCCTCCTCCCTTGTAAATGTATTAAACTCACTGGCTGATCAAATCAGAGCTCAAATTCTAGGAGTCAAACAAGGCCTCCTGCCAAAAAAAGAAAAAAACCAAAACCCTAAAGATGAGGAAACAGGGAGAGAAAAGTTTCCTGGGGCTGAATCAGCTCAGATGCATTGAATGCAGAGTCGGAGGGATATGCCAACAAAAAATGGGATGAGGAATGGATTAGAAACCTCATGAGTAGTTGAACAAAAAGCCTACGAAGAAACGGAGGTGTGTTCAGGGGCGTGTTACAGAAAGCTGGAATGCTTATGCCCGGATTTGTGGAGCATTGCTGGATAATCGAATAAAAATATTTTATTTCTTTGCATTTCTCAGCGAGAAAATGCAGTTTTGAAGTATCAATATCTTACTGAGCATTTGGAATGTGAGGAGGCTCAGGCCCTGGCTCAGCTGGAAGAAAAACAGATGAAGCAGAAGGAGCTGGAGCAGCACCAGGTACGTTTGCTTTGGCTGCTTGCACAGTGTCTCAGGAGAAAGAGGCGCAACACACTGACTGCTCTTGTACCTGCCTGAAGATTTAACGAGAGGTTAACGTCGACTGTGCTAAAACTAAGACTAGGATTAATCTCTGTGATCGCTGAATCTCATGAATGAGACCCGGAGCTGCTGTGGAATCCACATGACGTGGGGAAACAGAATTCTTTTGGCTGAACAATGGATCTACAGATACAGACCCTGTGAAGTTAAACAGTAAATCACACCTGAGGATCCTATCAGCCTGACGTGAGATTCAGGAAATTACAGGTGTGAGGGAACTGTTAGCATTTTCATGGTGCAGTGACTCTTTTTTCCTCCTTCACACTAAGTTAATGCTTCTCATTAGTTTGATGGTGAAACTCTTCAGGGCTTTCAGAGATCAGCTGTGAACAGCCTGAAAACAAGCCCAGGCAGAGTGGTGCTTTCATTATGGTCTGGCTCTGTGTTCCAGACCTCTCAAAAATCAAACTGTCTGAAAAGCAGGAGGCGGTTAAGTGACAGGGAGGACACCTGGAGCTCTTCCCTCCATCCCTCCCAAAGTCCACTGACTCCTCATCTGAACGGCTGAATAGCCTTGCAATAGGGGCTTGTACGGGATAATGTCTTCTATGAGATTAAACAGTTTTCTCTCTTTAGGCTGGGGAGTTCTAGCAGCAGAGCCACACGAGAACCAGGGCGGTTTCACTCCAGTTGCGGGTTGCTTTCATGACCTGATTGGAACATCTGCTGAGCTGGTATCACTGTGTCTGCGCCAGTGCTCCTCTGCTGGTTAAACTCTTACAGGAGAGATGCATCCTGAGGCCGGGCAGCAGGCTGGCACTCTGTGTTTTACTCACATTGCTCCGATTCTCTTCAAAGGCAGCCTTTGTGGAGTACCTGAACGGATCGTTCCTGTTTGACAGTCTGTATGCAGAGGATGCAGAAGCTGCCAAGCTGGCGTACCTCCCCGGCGTGGGCGACCTACTGCAGGCATATCCTTCCTGGGCTTACCATACCTACAGCTGAACGGTAATGCCTCGAGTTAGGGAGCTGCATCCGCAGGGATTCTTCATCCGTTGCTTTTCTCCAGGGCTGAAAACTACATTGATCTAAGATCTGAGACAGTCTGTGTTCAATTTTGGAACGGTACCAAAAAAACCACTCCAGGACTGTGAGACCACTGACAGCTTTAAGGCTTGATATCTCATGAAATACAAGGGCTGCAAACAAATGGTTTATGTTACTGGCAAGCTGTCTGCCCCAGCTTGAAGTATCCCATTTGTAAAAGCACTCGTTTCTATCACCAGCAGGTCACGGGATTCCAGCGTTTTAAATTCTCCCCCTTGTAATTACCATATTCCTTTTCCTTCCCTTGAATCAAACACAATTTCTGGAGCTTTCTTTTCTGACCCTTCAAGAACCAAGGCTTTGTACTTTCTTTAAGTCTGGAATCCACTTAAAGTTTAAAATGAGCTCTAAGATAAATCTCTGTCAGTTAGATTGTAAGAGCACAGTTGCTAAAATCATGTTGAAATTGAAGTGGTAGGAGATAGGAACAGACTAATCAGAATGATACGAGTCATGTATCTCACACCCTGCCAGAGCTGGCAACACCAAGTTTTCAGGCCAGCACTTTTTTCTGATCATTGCTCCTACACGGGGGATCAGAAAGCAGACACTTCTTTTTTTCTTTTTTCTTTTCTCATTCAGATTAATAAGAGCATTGTCAAGGCCAGTAACTTGACCTTCCTTAAAATTGCATTACGCTGTTGGGGAAAAATGCATCACGGCTTAACTACAATAGACTCGAGAAACAATTCCATTGCCAAGATAATAGCAGAAGAAAAATGGACATTATTTTTGTGATGCTACCAAGTCAGTAGTTTATTCCGCGCTCTGGCTGTGGGCCCCGGAGTTGGATTTATTAACTACGCAGGCACTATAGTCACACTGCCGAAGACAGATAGGGCTGTAAGCTTTCTTCAGAAAAGAGTCAGAGAAATATGGGTATTTCCTTTTTATCCTCAAGGCCTTTTTTCCCCCTCAAGTTGTCACAGCTTTTTGCATACCCTTAAGGCAGCAAAATCCAACATATAAAATGTGAGTGGGTGACCCCGTCCTGCCCCAGCCAGAACCCTGGGCAGCCTGCTCCCAGCAAGAACTGAGGAGTTCCCATCACAGCAGCTTGTAACTCCTGTAGCTCAGGTTTGCAGAGGTAGGAACATAGCACATTGCTCCACCGAACAAGCAAAATGCCTTGACTCTGGTGTCACTTACAGGACGGAGTTTGTCTCCGTTTGTGAGAACCTGTTTCGCTATGGGCTGAAAGAGTTTGAAAAACGAGAAGCTGAAGTCTCTGATTTCTATAAAAGCCTTCACGAAGTGTTAACAGCCAGCCAACAAGAAGCCAGGAAAATAACCCTGGACTTTGAAAATCGGAACCAAAGGGTAATGTTGTTGTGCTTTTGTTTGATATGTGATTTCTCTGTGTCATACGCCAGCATTTAATTTCACTGAGAACAAGGGTAACTCCATTAACATCAGGAAAATTATTTGGGATTTATGGTGCTGTAACAGGAATCAGTACTTGATCCCTAGAGGCAGAATCACAGAGTAGTTGAGGCTGGCAGGGATCTCTGGAGAGCCTCTGGTCCAAGCAGAGCCACCCGCAGCAGCCTGCCCGGGACCGTGTCCAGGTGGCCTCCGAATATCTCCAAGGATGGAGACTCCACAGCCTCTCTGGGGAACCTCTTCCAGTGCTCAGTCACTCATCTTTACATGCTTCTTACAGTATAAATATATATAGATATATAAAAACTTGTGTTAGATAATGTCATTAACTAACGTATTTAAAAGTTTTTTAGTACTTTATGTAGGAAAAGAACTTGGGGATTGAAGTTTCAACCCTTTGGGCAAACCACAACCCGCTGGCAGCCTTTATCTATACTGGAAATTCAGCGTAGCACAAAATTAACATGTCATCGTGTTATCTTATTGTCCACAAAGGTAAAGGTCCTTCAAGGCTTTACAGGAGAAAAGTGGCAAAACATGGTGGGTTTTTTACTTTTTCTTTTTTTTTTTTTTTTTTTTTGCCATCCAGAAAAGTTACCAGTCTTTAAGAAAATGGAAATGTTCAACCATTCTTTCAGTTTAAATATTTCTGATGAAGTTGATTTAAAATATATAGAGAGATTTACCAGATGTAATGCCACTCCCCTTCTCTTTGAAGCCTCCAGTAGCTCCTTCTACATTGAAAAATGGGAAAGAAAAGGAAGGAGATTGCAGGGTATTGGGTTTGTTTTCAAGTAATTTTCTGCTTCAGTTCATTTTGTCAAAAACGGCTCAAAGAACTTTAACCAGAAAAAATTAGATGACATTATTGTCGTGTATTTCTAGCCTTTTTAAAGCAGAAACTATCTTTGTTCATTCTGCTCAGCTCCAGCCACCCATTGGGGCTGCTGAGGGCGTCGCTTCTAGCTGGATCCCTTTCTGCCCATGTATAATAGATGGAGCACAGAAAAAATAAAGGAGGGGGGTCTAAAGCCTGGTACGGCTGTCAGCTGAGCAGAGCCCATCCCTGGCGCTGACACCAGGCAGTCACGAGCGCTGGCTCCCTTTCAAAACTGGGTCACTTTGGTGGAGGTGCTTTGTCCTGGGCTGGCAGGCTGCTGAGTCACACTGTGACCTCGCTGAGTCATGCTGGGAAACCACCTCCATCAGCTCTGGAAGGGATGTGAGTTTGCAGCCTCCCTAGAAGCCAAGAGAAAAAGATAGAGATGCCTATTCAGTTAACTTCAGTTCCCAATATATCCTCATTAAAAAACAAAACAAACACCCAAAAAACCCCAAAAAAATCCCAACAAACAAACACACACACACACACACACACACAAAAACCCAAACCAAACCAACCAACCAAAACAAAAAAAACCCCGAGGTGCAAGAAAACACGGCTAAGGCTTTGAACTCGGACGTTCTTGCTCCCAGAGGTGCGGCTGGAACGGCCGGGGAGATTTTTGAGCCTCCTAAGCTGTTGATGTCAGAACAGACGATACCTTGCTCTCCCCTTCCCCACTTTTAACACTGGAAAGTTTGGGTAATCTAGTCCATTTTCAGACAAAGCTTGGCAATGATTTTTGTCAGAATTCTTTATTTTAGCCTGTTCCATTCCCTCTCAGGAGAAGTGGATCCGATATTTAAACGTGTGTATTTTTTTTCCTCCTATTAACATTGGATTGTTAACTTGTTTTGAACAGACTTGAAAATAACACATTGCTCAGCGCAAGAGGATTTTTTTTATTTGATCCAAGAAATCATAAGTCTTGTCTGATACAAAACTGACGTCAATATGTAATTCTGAAGGGCAATAAATCCTTGCTGGAAGAGGAAGGCAGGCAGTGATAGGTATTCCATATTCAAAATACTAAATCCTGACCCTATGGAAGTCAATCAAGATTCTCCCTGACACGAAGGGGATCAGGATTTAGACCTGCATTTCTTTCTGCAAAGTAATTGTTAATCTCTTCTTCATGGCCAGCAACGACAATAATCTATTTTTTTTTTCCACTTAAAATGTGTCAGAAGGGGAACCAAAGATGGAAACACAGAAGAGGCAAAGTCTTCTGCTGCCTGGAGGATGCAGAAGGGAATGTCACCAATTCCCCTGCCTTGCCCCGGGGTCGTTAGCGCAGTCGCGTTGCCCCAGCATCGTTAGCGTGGCAGCACACCCCAGCACTGTTGACTCCCCAGTGTGCAAACCTGGAGATTTCCCGAATCATCCCGTTTCATTGCAGCTCAGCAGCAGCAGGAACTTTTCTCACGTACGCAACGAGTTAATCAAACTGCATTGGAGTGCTGAACACAAGCTCTCATTTCTGTGTCCCTGTGTTTAGAGGCTGGATGAGGTTCGTAGCGCCACTAGCTCCGATCTTGCTGAGTCCAAACGAGCCGAGTACAGGGAGGACGTGGGTCAGCTCTCAGAAGCGCTCATGACCCTGGAAATGCGGCATGCTGACCAGCTGGAGGTAAGAGCCAAGCACGTACCTGCGAGACCTCGCATCCAGAACATCAAACCCCCCTGTTTAATAGCCCATTGCAGAAGGAGGGGGGCACAGGTCTTCCAGCCAGGCTGACCTTTGTCTCCATCTGATCCGTTCTCTGCTCAGAGATGATCTGGGTGAGATCAGGCTCTGGATATCGATCCGTTGCAACACGTTTCTGTTTCTCAGAGCATCTGCCCAGGCTGGTTTCTGAGACTTTAGAGAAAGGGACTTGAGGTCATTCAGTCATCCTATACGTCCACATACAGAAGTCGCTGCATAGCATGGGGTCTGTGTTTGGGATTCTCGAGGTGTAATTCTTTGATCTTTGCTAGGAATAAGATTACATTCCTGCTCAGATTACTGCATTTGCTTGCATAATAGCTGCCTTTTTTTTCTCCCCACTTTTCCTCAAAAACTAGGGCAGGGCTCCTCATGTGCATCTTCCTTTAAAAAAAAAAAAAAAACAGTAATCTGTCTAAAAACCAGCAGGCAGGAGCTGCAGGCTGTGTGCAAGCAGATGCAGCAGTGGACTTTGGTGAATGTGCGTTACAGAAAGCAGGAGCTCAAAATGGATTCCTCCCTGCAGCAGGACTGTGCCTTTTAGTGTTTTCTGAGTTGGTCCTCACGTATCTGCAGTCCCTGATGGAGTGAGCAGAAGCATTCCTCCCTGCACGCCTTTCGGAATTTGCAGGGCTTGGTTGGCTCATGTAAGTGCAACAACACTTCACAGGTTCTCCATCAGCCTTTTTTGAGAGAGGTTATAGGCAGCAGCACGTTTAATTTCTGAGGACTGAAATAAAAGCTGCAGTAAGCCCAGGCATTGGTCCTGCTTCTGACAAGAGGCTCTCTGTACATACGAGGAGCCTGCAGGTCGGCGGCAGCCGGGAATACGGCACCGCCCGGGCGTTAGGTGAGGGTGAGAAGGGATCAGCTGGCTTGCTCCACACCCCAGTTAAATAAACTGATTCAAATTTTCTGTCCCTGAACAAGGAAAGAAAATCTTGCAGCACCTTCAAAACACTGTAATGCCTGAGGCAGTTCGGTCTCAGTGTGCTGATAACAGCAGTGAGTCCCAATTATAACGGGTCGTAGATTCTTCCTAGACTCCCAGACTCCCTTTTATGTTTATTCAAGTTTTTTATTGTAATATTTCCTCTTTTTCCCTCTGTTAAGGAACTAATAAAGGATTTTAAAGGACAGATCGCTGTCGTCGCATCGACATTCATTGAGGACGTTAAAGGAATATATCCTTTGGACACTGTTGGCCCGGACCTCCCACTGCTGTACCTATATATCGCTTCTAAATCCAGACATGAGCCAGGAGTATAGAATTTGATTTTCTTTTTTTTTTTAAATCAACAGAAAAGGTCTTTTCCCAGCTTTGCACGAATGGTCATTGAAGGCGCCCCGCTTTTCTGTGGAGACTCTGGAGAGTACAAAAAGATCCAAGTTCTCCTGTGCTGAAAGTCTCTATGGCTCCTGCAGCTTTCTCCCCCGTGGGAATCCTCCCTTCTTCACACAAGCATACCCCAAGCCTGGGAGGATCGAGCTGAACTGTTTTCTATGCCCATTCTTGCCCTAGGAGCCAGCACAATGCCTACAATTCTTCCTGAAGTTTCTTTAAATGCCCTTCATTTTATGTCTTCTGGAATAGTGAGATAAGAACACCGAAGTGCTTCGGTGACAGGTTAAACTATTTTAAATATATACATCTGTTAGTCTGCTGCAAATAATTGGCGTACTTGGAGCTTAGCTTATATCCTGGGAGCCCTCCCTCAGTTTCCTCTGCAAACCTAAGCCCGCTCTCACTTTTCCATAATATATTGCAGTGAGGATGAGACTCGATGTGTGTGAGCTGCAATTAAGAGCAGAAAGTGTATATCCTGACATTGCAGCGGCTTCTGGCAGCAGCCAGGCTCGCTCCTGCTGCGTGGACACTCAGTGTCTCGTTACAGGAGATCATTTAATCTCTAAAAGTGAGTGCTGTGCTCAGCCTTTTCCTGAACCATCTTCTGTACGATAAGCCAGTGTCGGGACCTGGAAAACCATCACCATGAGCAGCTGCTGGAGATCTGCATCAGCACGCTGGAGAAATCAGCCAAGAATGAGCTGGATGAGGATTTGCCAGAGGACATCCGAATGGTGAGGCACCAAAATATTCATCTACACGTAGGGAGTCAGCAAGAAGGGGAGGCCACAGCCTCTTCTCAGGAGGAGTTTCCAGGAGGCTCAGCACAGCTAGAGCCATGCCTAAACCAGAGCGTAACCTTCTCCTACGAGGCTCCAGCCACTTGGCTGAACTGCAGAGCTGCCGGCCATCCCCACGGACTAGGACAGACGATAACTGCACTGCAGGTTTCCCCAGGAGCTGGTGGCAGCAGCCCAGGAGAGGTGCTGAGCTCCTCTCTCTCCTGCCTCCAGCACAACTCCCTTCCCCAGCTGATCTCCAGCCAGCCCCAGCCCAGCAGGTGCTTAGGCACCGATCTGCTGCACCTGCAGCTGGTTCTGTTCAGATTCTCCCCGTTCCCCCAAGGAGAATCCCAACTTCCCGACACCGGGGCTCTGCTTTCCTCGGTGATTTCACGAGCTGTCCCTGGAGCTCCCCAGCCCATGAGCTGGGCTGGAGGCAGGACGATATCCAAGATCCTGGAAGCCTCTCAGAAAGCAGAAAGATCATTGCAGTGCTTCAGTCAACAACACTGCTGACCTTTTTGCCTCTGTTATTCCTTCATTTAGTAGCTAAATGACTCCAGTTTTGCATTCGTTGGGGTTTCACTCTGTCCAGGTTATCCCACCCCCCCATTACTCCAGGTAATTGAGAGCTGACAGACACAAACCAGACCCCTCAGCCCCCCGGGGGAGCTCCCTGCTTTATGGCCTGTGCAGATGGCTGCGGTTATGCACCATCGCCGTGCGCCCGTTTCGCCTCGCTGCCATCCATTTCCTCCGAGAAGCAATCTTCATTTGTTCAGCAGCTGCACTTGGCTGCAGGAGGAGAGTCATTCCGGTTTAGCGAAGCCACCCTCTATTTAGAGCCACGGGGAAAGTCACTGCTTCGATGAGAAGCTGCGACTCCCCAAAAATGAAAATTTACAGCCAGTGCCACTAGTGCAAGAGACCCTTCCAAGCGCGATTTTCCCCTTCCCGCAGCTGCTGGCCCAGGCGCGCTGGAGCAGATGCAGCCTGGCTTCACCACCAGCTGCCTGCAGGGACCTGCCCTGCGCTGCCAGCAGCCAGCCCGCAGCCAAACACTCGGCAGCAGGTGTTTGCTCCCTGCTCCAGCAGGTGAGGCTGAGGGTCCTGCCTCAGTTTCCCCACCCGTAGCAGCGATAATACTCCATTACACTGTAGTGAGGCTCAGGCACATCCTCGCGAAGGGTAGAGCGCGGGATCCATCCTGACGACTAGGGCTTTGTGTGTCTGAAACAGAGTGTTGATTTTCTTCCCCCGAGCGCTGCAGTTGCTGTGCTGCTTGTTCCGAGCTCTGCTGCGTTTGCTGCGCGCCCACCCCCCTCCTCTCATCCAGTCACATGTGCTGCTTGTTCCGAGCTCTGCTGCGTTCGCTGCACGCCCACCCCCCTCCTCTCATCCAGTCACGTTACCTCCTAGCTTCTCGTGGACAAAAACACCATTGTCAACGCAGTCAACGCATCCCATAGGATCCGCCTGCTGAAGATTGATAAACGAGAGAGCGACATCCTCTGCAACACCTACCAGTGGCAGATCTCGGTGACAGAGAAGGTAAGAGACCCTTGTGCTCAGGGGGATGGAGCACAGACAGGTCTGGCCCAAGCAGTGGGGCCACTGCGAGCAAAGACACTCCCTAACCTTTGCTGGAGCCCTCTGTGCTCCAGGGACCCTGACAAGCCCGTGGATTCACTGCTTGGTTTCAATCTGTTCAGGCTGTCCAAAATGAGATCGACAGAAACCGTGACTACGTCCAAGAGATCATTCAGTACATCGACAGTCTCCTGGCGGAGCTGGATACCAGAGAACCTGGAGCTGATGGAATAGGTCTACCCTGGGCTGGGCAGCTGCCTTAGCTGGGGGTACACAGGACAGCCCCCCACCCTGCCAGCAGGGACAGCTGTCTCTATGCCTGAGCTGCCTGCGACATTTCAGGCCAAAGGCATCCATCCTACCATAAACTGCAAATAAAAGATACTTAGTGACTCTGGAAAAGCATCTGAAGCTCTGTCTCTTCCATCATGTTGGCACAAAGCCTGTGCAGACAGAGCTCAGACCTGGTCATGGGGGGTTATGGATCAGCTGGGAGCTGATTGAACCAAATCATCACAGCACATCACGCCCAAAAGCTTCGGTACCTGCAAGGACCGTGGC